AATGCCGACAAGTCTCAGTATGCAGTACGTGCAGCCGCCACCACCACCACCGCCGCCGCCGGTACAAAACGTGCCGCAGAACCTTTCACAAAACATGCCGCCGCAGATGACGCCGAGCAGCTTGCCGCCGAACGTGCCGAATATGGGACCAACAAATCTGCGCCACGTAACCGAGAGCTTGCCAACTTCGGCGCAAACATTGCCGCAAAGCATGTCGGGACCGCCACCGTTGAATCTCAATATCTCGCAGAGCGTGTCGGCCGGTATCGGTGGCCCGATCGGCCAGATACCGCAGATGCCACCAATGTCGAGTTCGCCACCGCAACCACTCGGTTTGACCGTAATGTCGTCCGAAAGTAGAAATGCCGAAAGAATGGTGGACGATAGACTGTCAGTGAACGATCGAGTGCGCGATAGCCGAGCTCCCGACTCTCGTATGATGCCAGAGCGCGTTTCGGAACGAACAAGCGAGAACAATGAGTCGGAACGATCGGAGCCGAGCAACTTGTTTCAGCCGATACAATCCGGCGGAATGTTGGCGATGGAGAAGCCCGCGGGTATCTACAATTTACCGGCCGGTACACCGCCGATGGAGCCGCAGAATCTAAAGATAAAGCAGGAGATCATACCACCGGAGCCGGATCCTCTGCAAAGCTTGAAGGAGGTCAAGGTACCGGGCTTCCAGAGCTCCAATTTTCCAGGTCCGAGTTTGGACAATATCAAGAAGGATCCGGACGGCGCGAGCAAACCGCCAACACCAAGCAAACATTCTATGCCGCCAGTTAGTCAGGCGGTACCGTCGATTCAGCCGGTCGCGGCATCGCCGACACCGACGCCGAACCTACCGCCGCCGCCCAGTTCGATCCCTCAACCGGTAATGCATCCGGCGCAGCAGCCGAGCCCGCATATGGCTCATCCCTTCCATCCACATCATCCGCTGATGCATCATTCTTTGTTCACCGCTATGCATACGTATCATCCTCATCCCTATCCAGGATACGCACCAGGATACCCATCCTTCCCGCCATACGCTTACGGTCCGGTACCTCATGCCATTCCGCCGCCTTCGCCGCAACGAAGTCAGGAAAGCAGCAACGCTATGATGGCGGCGCATCATGCCAGCACCAGCTCAAGTGTCACAAGCAGAGAAGAGGGAGAGAATCTAATCGCGAGTCATCACCATTCGTCTAGTATGCATCAGCAGCCGACGAATTTGCATCACGAGAAACTATTGAGCATCTCTTCTCACAGCTCTCACAGTCATTCGTCGTCCCACAGCTCACATAGTAGTCAGCGCAAACCGTCGCTCGTCTCGGCTACATGTCTAACGTCATCGGCTAGTTCCGCGCATCATCATCATCGTGCGTCGCAGCCGCAGCAACCGCAGCCGATTATGCAGGAGCCGAAGATCGAACAACAAGACATGGAGACCGAGCCGGAAGAGTCAGTTAGTCCTCGTGGACCGTCGCCAGAACCGCGAATTGAGGATTCCGAGTGTCATCGTTCGCAGTCGGCGATTTTCCTGAGGCATTGGAATCGCGGCGAAAATAACTCGTGCACGCGCACTGATTTGATGTTTAAACCTGTGCCCGATTCGAAGCTTGCAAGAAAGCGCGAAGAACGCTCGCGGAAACAGGCAGAACGAGAGCGAGAGGAGCGTGATCGCGCCGCTGCTGCAGCTCAACAGGCTAGAAAAATGACGACACCGGAGAAACAACCTGAAGTATGCAAACCACCCAGCCGCGGACACCTCGAACCGGTCGTTTCGCCATACGATCGTTACGCCGCGCGTCCTGGTTCTTATGCGGACACGCCGGCGCTCAGGCAATTGTCTGAATATGCTAGACCGCACGCCGCTTTCTCACCCGCCAGACATCCCGCCCCGCCCGATCCGATGTTACATTATATCTACGGACGTGAGGCTGCAGCAGCGCAACGGTTGGAGTTGGAGCATTTGGAGCGCGAAAAGAGAGAACGCGAGATACGCGAATTACGCGAGAGAGAGCTGAACGATCGATTGAAGGAGGAATTGTTCAAGGGTACGCCTAGACCGATGCCGGCACCGCCGGTTGATCCACACTGGCTGGAGATACACCGCCGATACGCCGCCGCCGGTCTGACACCAGCCCCTTCTGGACCACCCCAGGCCTTACATCAGTTCGGCCTCTACGGCGCTCCACCGGGTCCAAGTCAACTCGAGAGAGAACGACTCGAACGGCTAGGTAACTATTGATTAAGCTAACATTTTATAATATTTCATAACAGCGAGTGTAGAAGTACAGACTTCGTGTCGACAATCATTCGTTCGTTCGTACGACTTATAGAGTTTGCAAAATTGGGATTGATTTAAGAATATATAGTCAAAAGGATGATAGAAAAATCGATAGGCTGGGAAGAAAGATGGAATTAGATTGAGAGCGCCAAGTTATTTCAGAGATGCGCGTGATATAGTTAAACGTAAATGTTTAAATTCTTATGGCCGATTTCTTCAGCGCCAATTAACTGTGGTGACAAGATAGCTAATCTTGGCTCTCTGTGTAACCAATGATATATTATTAGAAGAACACGGGGTTTTCTCTCGAATAATTTTATCCAACAAATTAACTGGAGATGAAGAAATCGGGCAACGATGAGAATCGTATCTGTGATCTTCGAGTTATGTGATCGAAGCGCTGTCGCGTTTAGGGATTCCGACTGCAGCCGGCGGGGGGCCAGCGGGTGGAGCGGCTGGCCATCCCGTGGCGGCTCATCATCACGGCCAGTTGGAAGAACGGCTGGCTCTGGCCGCTGACCCGATGGTCCGATTACAAATGGCTGGCATCTCGCCCGAGTATCACGCTCACACTCACGCGCATACGCATGCGCATACGCACTTGCACTTACATCCGGGACAGCAACAGGCCCAGCAACAGGCTCAGCAACAGCAGGAAGCCGCTGCGGCTGCGGCTGGATTTCCTCTGCCGGGTAGGTCCTTACACACAGGATGTTTCTTCTAAGCTTCTCCTGAAGAGCTTCTCCTTTTAAGAAAACGCCGCTCTCGCTTATTCCTCGTCGCTCAACAGCCGTTTCTCATTGATCGTCAGCCTACACTTACCGTCTAGGTCGAGACGATCCTTTATTTTCTGCACCATATCAGCACGCCTGCGAACTTCCGGTTGCTCGACTCTGATCTTTGGCTAGTCGCTTATCACCGTCGCAGGTGCAAGTGCGAGTGAGTGTTGTCGAGGAATAGGCGCGAGTGTGCGTGTGCGTGTACCTTAGAAATGAGAAGTAACATTTCTGGGATATTTTGTCGGTAGTTGAAAGAGGGTTCGACGGTTGCAATTTTCGCGCGTAGTTTCTTCTATATTTGCGAGATAATCGAATATGCTTCCGCAATTTTATAACGCGTCCCTACTAGTACTCTTGTAAAACAATTATTATATGAGGCAATGTTTATATAATTATATTAAATATAATAATAAGTATTTTATAATGTTTTTTTTAATTCATCTTGTTTTTCTAACACGGCGATATTTTCGTTCACAGCTGCGGCCAGCGCCAATTATCCTCGTCCCGGTTTAATGCCGCGCGATCCTGCTTTGGCACTTCATCCGGCGGAACTTCTAGGAAGACCGTACGCGGACATGGCGGCGCATCACGAACAGTTGCAACGGCATCTCATGATAGAGCGCGAACGATTCCCTGCGCATGCATCTCTCGTGGCTCATCACGAAGAATACCTGAGGTTTGTAGGCATTTGAAATCACTATCAAAACTTGCCTAACTTGTTATTGCATAATGCAATGATTTAAGGTAGCGGGGTATCCGCACTAACAAAAGGTGTTTTTTAGACAACAGCGTGAGCGCGAGCTTAAAGTTCGCGCGCTGGAAGAAGCCGCACGTGGATCGCGTCAATAATTATATTTTTTATTTATGTACATATAATATATATATATAGTTTCTTGATTGCGTTTAAGCACGATATATTATTACATATATGTATATGCGCGTATGTTGTATATATACGCGTATATATTATATATATCCGAGCGTTCTTTCAACGCATCGATGAGTTGAAGATTAAAAAAAAGTCGGATCTTGCTCTGTAATCATATATTCTCTAATTGTAAGATCAGAAATTATTTTTATGATCTTTCAGATCGCACAATATAAGCGATGGAAATATATATATATATATACATATATATATACGCGCAGCGAGCATAATCATTGTAATTCTCATTATTGTAAATAACACGACAAAATATTTGAGTTTTCCGGTGCTGTAACGCTCAGTTACTGGTACTTTTTAGAATGATCGAGATTTATATATAAATGGCAGATATGTAAGCCGTTCAAGTCTTTAAATATTATATTGTTAATTCTTATACTTCGCTATCGACAATGTCACAGTTTGTCGATCTTGCCCGGTTTATTCGATTGACCTTGCTTTATTATTTGATTTTAAGTAGTATATATGCCAAAGCGCTTGTACAAGGTAAAATTCTACCGCGTTCTCTTTTTTAATCCTATGTATATATAGATATTATATATATATTTTTTTTTAAATATTTGTTCTCGTAAATAGTAAATGCGCATAGTCGTCGTCGTACAAAAACGGATAAAAAAGAAATTATAGATCGCTAGAGAAGGTAATAAATCGAGCGATCACATAACACGAACGGGATCTTTCGTTTGTACATCTTTTTATATCGAAGAACTTTTGCGATATTTTAACTAATTTTAATTATTACGCTTAATAATGAAAAATAGTTGAAACAATCTAAAAGTTATGTCTAATAATTAAAATTAATTATAACGATGTAAGAAATATCATACATAAGTCGTTCATTGATAATAAGATAGGCTCGTGGATTCATTTTTTGCATTTTTATTATTGATCAACTACATGTGCTATGTTATGATAGACTGGCAATATCCAACAAAAGGATATCTTAATAGGAGTGTGTGTGTATATACATATATATACATATAACATACGTTATATATATAATATGTATAATATACACGTATTCGATATATTAGTAAAATAATTAAATTTTAATTATATATTTTTATGTGATTATATGATACAATCAATATACAGAACATAGAGATACAATATATATATATAGATCGACACGGAAAGTTCAACATACATATATTTAAAAAAAAAAATGTTTAGCATGATTTTCTGTCACGTTATAAATAAACCCAAACGTGTACTCGTTTTCTATCCTGCTACATACACACACTATCACAATAATTAAAGTTAGTTAAAATGACAAAAGTTTTTTCAAATGTATAAATAAAATGTCCCACTTGTTTCAAGATTGCTCGGTTCATTACCTCCTAGCAAACTGCATTTTTTTCTTTTATACGACGTTGTTTCAACTTATTTTTATTATTGTGGTAGTGTATACATGTGTATAATAAGATGGGAAATTAGTACGTGTTTGCGTTTACTTATAACGACAGAAAATTATAAATTCAATCATCAATTACTTAATTAAATAGCTTTGTTATATCAAATCAATTACACAGCGTAAAATGTACATGTCTCTCAATGGTCACTGGATCATAAGATCATGCTATTTCAACATTTGACATTGCCAAAGAAACATTATTCGTAAATCAATGATAAGTGTTTTCTTTTAAATCCACGTTTAATTTTCCACGTCAATCTATCTTGATCGTATCACATAATAGTGTGAAAAATGTAATCTAAGTTTACTTATCATTTTATTAATGTATCAGACATGTGTGTATATGTAAACACTTTTATTTAGATATATCCTTTTATTGGATGTTGCAAATCTTTGATAATAAAGCAGCTGATCAGTGGTAAGGACACAAAAAAGAAATACTTACCATTGAATGATTTAAGAATGATGTTTCTTTGACAATATCAAATATTGAAGTAGTGTAATCTTATGATCCAGTGACCATTGAGAGACGTGTACATTTTACACTGTGTAATTGATTTGGTGTTGATGAAACTATTTAATTGAATAAACATTTCGTACAAAACTCGAATTGACTCAAGTGTCTTCTTCTTAGCTATTCTCTTTCGAGCTTTAGTTAATTTTATGCAATTATTGTTCGAGAAGATTACACATTGTAACGCCGTAATTTGATCAACACTGCAATACACAACGAGATCTAAATTCTTTAGCGTCTCATAGCAACATAATCGCGTTAAAAAGAACAAAATCGGGGAAACGAATCGCAAACACGCTGCAACGGTATGATAATTAGTTTTGCAGATGAAATTTGTTTCCTTTGCCCTACTTTATTACCCGGTCGCTACGGTCATCTACGTTTTTTATTAAGCATAATGCGAAACGCAGCCGTCGACCACTTTACATGGAATGCATCGCACTCGGCGTGCACACACGTGTATATGAGAGGCAGGGATGAAGTTGTGAATGTATTATTTCAATTCTAGCGCAATCGTATATATATATATACACACAAATTGTAAGTAGTAAATTAAATTTTTGAAGATGCGAGAGGGTAACGATATGGAATATAATAATATGGACTAGATTATAACTTTGACTTTCATTTTGATGTTCTCGCAAATTTCAATGATGAATTAATTATAATACATTACCCCCACAAAAGATATAATGTTTATCATAATTTCATCATAATTTTTTTTATATTTCCGCGTTGAAGCGTTTTTTCTATATTTTCGTTGCCGCAACTTTCGCGTATTATGGTAGACATCAGAAAAGAGAAGAGAAGGAAGAAAGTACCGAAAAGGAAAGAGAGAGAGACAGAGAAAAGATCTTTAGCCTCTGATTCTACACATGTGCGGCTCACATGAGTGTCGAGTTTAGCTGAGAAAAAGAGGGAGTAAGAGAAAGGAGAGGGAGGAGAAGAACGGCAACGCGGAACTGAGGGATGTAAGCGTGCGTGACACACTAGAGATGAAGAAATTTCATATTCCAAAGGAAAGGAAACAGGCTGCGGATCAGTCGCTCATTAATAAAGGCAACGTTTTCGTGAACAGTCTAAGATCGTATCTACAACATGGCAACGCATAGGAAAGAAGAGCCGACGAAGCAGCGATACCAAGCAAACGCTCGAGAAAGGGATCGCACTCATAGGTGAAGAGTATTTTGCATTCGCATTTTAAATTTTTTAATTTCGGGGAACGAGTGACAGATAACGCTTGATGATACATAAGTCAAACGTTTGAAGAAGAATGGAAAGCATCGATTTGCACGAAGATGAAGGATTTAGAGAAATGACGCATATATTTTCGCATGTAAAATCTCTTTCGATACAAATGCAATTTATCTTTAAATTCCTCTTCTATTTAACGTAAATATGATGCACGAGATAAATGTAATGGATATAACGACCATTTATGATGCAGAGACACAATTGAAAGAATACAATCTTCATTGTGCAGCGTGAACACGGCTTTCAGCGTCCTGAGAACTCTGATTCCGACCGAACCGGCTGACCGGAAGCTATCGAAAATAGAGACTTTAAGGTTGGCCAGCAGTTACATTAGCCATTTGGATGCTATACTCATCGCGGGTGCCATAGATCAACCCTGCTCACGTCTCTTAAAAAATAGCGGCATTTGCTCGACAAGGCCGCAAGTTTGTACTTTTTGCTTGGCAATGCATAAAAAATATGTAAGTTGTAATTAGTACTTTTGCAAACTACGTTTTGACATAGTATTCTCTATTTTATATTGTACATTGTGGTGTGTGTGTGTGTGTGTGTGCGTATGATTGATGGAATATTTTTCTTTCAATACAAAAAGAAAAATATATAAATATACATAAATTATATATATGAGATATACACAAAGATATTATATATATAAATTTACAAAATTATATATGTGTATATAAATTTGTAATTATATATATCTTTAATTATAATTATAAATATTTACAAAATTATAATTATATATGCGTATTTTCATAAATTATACACGATCCATATATATATATATAATACGTATATATATATAATATAATTTCGTAATTAATACGTATATAATTTCCAATTTTGTGAATTTTTAATCAATCATTTTTTCGTTTTGTTTAAATATATTAACAATTAATTTATGCGATTATAACATTTTTGTTTTTCTATTTTGAATTTGTAGAGTTTTAACGTTTCACAAGTAATTTCCGATTACCCAAATGTTGAGACAGCGCCGTGCATCTTTACGCCAACGAATTCAATGTGTTTCGATTTAAATATAAATGATATTTAAAATCTGAAAGTTAACTATATAATATCTGTATATTTGTTGTAAATATTATCTATGATTATTTGTAGCATATGTTATAAGAATTATATATTAACTTAATTAAGAATTATATTAATTACATATTCCATAAATTTTACATTAATATAAATTTTTTAATAATATTTTGATTTTATGGGATAATAATGTAATTCATATATATATATATAT